CTGCTTCCTAAAATCCTAACCACTGCGCAGTTCATTAAGGGACTAAGAACTCTTGATCCCAAATAAACACTTTCTAATGCATTAATCTAGAGATAATAAGCAAATGACAGCATCACAGGAAAGAATTGAGTCGCAAGATTACTTCAAAGTTTTGAATATTATCCAAAATGCCAGCCAGTGAGCTGCAAACCCATTTGTATTTTTAACTGAAATTTAAATGACCTTCTACAAGTCCAGCAGAGTCCACGTGCATACAACTGGATTCTCCCATAAGCGAATTTCAAGCATGCAAGCTCGCATACTCCCACAGCCAGACATGGCATCAGTGCTATGTTCTTCTCAAATGGGATCAGCCAAAACCAAAACAAAACCCCCTACTTAGGAAATTTTTCAGAAGTTGGAGCAGACTTCATGCAGTCCCATTTAACCAGCCTTCCACTGCACATATGAAAATGAAACCATCTTCCTTCTACAAGTACTTTTGTAAAATTAAGTATTTCATCTCAGAACAAGCAGTGGAAACTTATGCAAGAAAATGCCTGTAACAAGCATGTGCGTAGTTGTCCTTTGACTTAAATACTGATTTTTAAAAGCAATTCTTAGTACTTACTACATGACAATCCATGAAGAAAAGAAAAAGAAAATTCTTCATTCACATTCTGAAAATTAATACTGGATAAGGCCATGCTAAAGACTGCTGTCTTTTGAAGGACTTACTTTAGTGCAGCTCATGTGCATGCCACATTACAAGAACAACTAACAACCCATTTCTGAACTGTAGCATATAAGCAGAACACTGCTCAAAATACACAGACACCATTGGTTTTCACAGGGAAGTACATTCTTTAGGATTCTTCTACTACTACACCTGCAATGCATAAATCCACATAAGGAAGTTGTTTTAGAAGTTACTTAGTCAAGCTTTCAGACAGATTCTTGCTAACTCAGTCAAGTAACAAATAGCTATTTATAGTTATCAGACTATAATATTAGAGCCATATATTAGACCCAAGTACTTCATAAAACCAAACACACTGATGGCTTACTTTTCTCTGTAAGCTCCTTTCCCCAGCCAGCTAGCAAGAGGTAACTTCCCAAACGCCTTCTCTACAACTCTGAACCTGCACCTTTACATGGCTGAGATCCATTTTAGCAAATTCTCTGCCATTAGGCTTCTATTTCTGACAGCTTCATGGGCAAGTGCTTACAAGACAAACCCTGCTAGGGCATGCCAAGACAGAGACACAGCAAGCACTGTTCTATAACATATTCTGTGTGTCAGCCCTACAGCTATACAGTGAAAGTATTGTCCGAACAACAATCCGAGCAGTGAGCTCTCCAGCCTGGCACAGGCTGCTCCATAGACCTTTACCTACAGAACAATTCCAGGGATGCCCAGCCACTGAGACGCACAACCACTTCCACGCGTCCCAAACAGTAACCATGCAAAATACGCCACATCAGCTACAGCTGGCGTTCCAAGCAGCACTCTCCCTTCTTCTGGGAAAACATGAATAACTTCTGTATTCCCAAGGGAACAGAGACATGCTTCATTCCCAGCTAGAGAAGATAGTAATCAGCTAATAAAAGCTGCCACAACAACAGTAATGGTGTCACATTAGAGACACTCCCTTTCTTCTGTATCAGTTGCTGCAGGACAAGCCCTCTTTTCCCCTGTGGCCACAGGTCAATGGTCACCTGTCTTTGACCGTGAACCTTCACCCTACAGGGTCTCTGCCATCTGACTGCTTAGGAATTTCTTATAAAATCTCCTCTTTTGGCCCTACTGTTCTCTTGTTACGTACTTACTTCTTAATTCCTCTGGTTTTGTTACTTCGTTTGCACTTCCAACTCCAGAAAATCACCCAGTCAATGCAAGCGCTGTTTTTCATGTTTCAGCTCTTCCTTATCACCAAAAGATAAGCAGTTTCTTTAGAAGAGTCTCAACAGTCCCTTAGGCAAAGCCTGGCACTTCTTTTTGCCCTCTGTGTTGAGCACTAAGTATCTGCAACTCACTTTGTTCAATGAAGACCCAGACAAAGACAGAAC